AACTGTTGAGTGACTCTACTGATTTGCAGCCTGACCTTGCTCAGAAAACAGGGCCACTGGGGCTCGACAGTCACCGCGTGCTCTCAGCACCACTAGTCCTTGCTCTGTGTTCTCACTTGCCCTATCAATTTGTTCCTGTGCGTGATCTTTGTTTCTCTCATTTGTTGCCTTTACCTTTCTCCTTCCCTCCATTTCCTTCCAACCCTCACAGTCTGCTGCATGTGTTTTTTTCCGAGCGAGAATGTAGGCCATCACTTTAACAGGAAGGCAGCGAGGACTCGAAGCACCGTTCCACCGCATTCTGCTCACCTTGCAGTGACTCAGAGTGCCAGAGTCAAGGGACAAACCTCAGCACACAGCAGTCCATGCTACACAGGCTACACTGAGCGCTGATCTGTCTGAGTTCTGCTGAAACGAGAGCTCCTGCACGTGCTGCTGCGTAATATCAAAGATTAATCTGAAACTCTCAGAAAAAAATGTATTTTATCCACACACTTTGATGTGTGATAACATAGATCTGCCAAGGTTATGTAAACCAAGGGTTCTCACACTGCATGTTGAAACTAGACCAGAAATGTAGGCATCACACCCTGATTACGGGAAAACCGCATCAAAAGGATAATTTTCCGTCATATCCTCTAAGGAAACAAACAAGAAACCACAAGGTCTGGGTTGATAAAATTTACAGTACCAGTCAAAGGTTTGACTGGTACTGTAAACATCTTCTCATTCAATGTTTTGTCTTTGTTTCTACATCATAGATTAATAGTGAAGGCATCAAAATTATGAAATAACACACATGGAATTACATAACAATGCAAAAAAAAACTAAACAAAGCAAAATATGTTTTAAATTTCAGATTCTTCAAAGTAGCCCCAATCTGCTTTGATAGCAGCTCTGCACACTGTTGCTGCTCTCTCAACCAGCTTCATGAGCTGGCCATCTGGGATGCTTTTCCAGCAGTCTTGAAGGAGCTCCTACATATGCTGAGCACTTGTTGGCTGCTTTCTCTTCACTGTGCAGTCAACTCACCCTAAAGCATCATAGCTGGATTTAGCTGAGGTGATTGTGGAGGCCAGGTTATCTGATGCAGTGTCTACTGCTCTCCGTCTTGGTTAAACGGCTGGAGTGGTGCTTTGAGTTATTGTCCTGTTGAAAAATAAATAACGGTCAAACCAGACAGGGCGGCGTGCCGCTGCAGGATGCTGTCGTAGGCCATGTTGGTTAAGTGTGCCTTGGATTCTGAATAAATCAGTGTAGGGCTGCACGATAAATTGTTTTCTGAATGTGATTCAGATCCCTGTGCAACCTCAGTCTGACGTGACAATGATTCTGACATGTTTACATTAACACGGAGATGCCTTGTATCAAACCAAGCGCTCCCTTATCCTTGCTAAGAAAAAAAACAGGAATGTGTTACATCACGTGATGAGCCGCAGACTGATTCAAAAATGAATCCAACATGTTTGACATTATCAAGGATATTCTGTGCCCTCCTACAACAATTTTTTAAAACGTTGTGCTGCCTGGCCTGTACACCTAGTGCCGAATAGCAGTTGAGATAGAAATACATCACTCTGCAGATATTGGTTAACGTGGCTTAGCGAGGATAAGGAAGTGCTTGGGTTGATGCAAGGGATCTCCATGCTAATGCAAACACGGTAGAATCATTGTCATGTGGGAATGAGATCACACAGGGATCTAAGTCATGCTCACAAAACGATTAAACGTGCAGCCCTACATCCGTGTCAGCAGCAAAGCACCCTCACAGCATCACACCTCCTCCTCCATGCTTTACAGCAGGAACCACACGTGCAGAACATTCATTCATCTTCTCTGTGTCTCACAAAGGCCTAGTGGCAGGAACTAAAATACTCAGACCAAAGTGCATATTTCCACTAGTCTAATGTCCACTGCTTGTGTTTCTTGGCCCAAGCAACTGTCTTATCATTAGCCTCCCTCAGTAGTGGTTTCTTAGCAGCAAATTGACCATGAAGGCGCGCTTCATGCAGTTTCCTCCGAACAACTGATGCTGAGATGTGTCTGCCACTGTCTAATCTGATGTGCCATTAACCGGTGATCTCTGAGGCTGGTAACTAATAAGCATATATTCTGCAGCAGAGGTAACTCCTGGTCTTCCTTTCCTAGGGTGGTCCTCCTGAGAGCCAGTGTCATCAGAGAATTTGATGGTTTTTGCAACTGCACTTGGAGAAACGTTCAAAGTTCTTGAAATTTTCCACTCACTGAGCTTCACATCTTCAAATAATGATAGACTGACACACAACTAGCCAAACACACAAGGTGTCACCAGCTTTCTGCATATTTAGAGAGATATATCATCATATTGCCGTACTTTTTATATCAAAATCAGTACCTGTTATGCAAAATGCATACAGGTTGGCAAGTCTGCATTAAGAAGCAACATCTGGGCAACATGAATATCAACACCACATTTCAAGACAATCCACCCAATAACTGTTATTTCAGTCTGGAGTGAAGCAGTGGACCCATAACAACTACCTTCCCTGGCAAAACAAAGCTACTAGAGCAATCACTTACAACTGATGATTTCAGGTAAGCTGCTGACCTCTGTGACCTTCAGTGGTTGTTTCTTTAATATTCAGAAACTGACTCAGGATGCACTCTCTAGGCAGGTTTTACTTATTGGCCCTTAAATAAAACATTGTCCCATACGTCAATCAATTAAAGTATGTGAGTTTATAACCTCCCTCTCATAATAAATTACTATACTGTCAAATTTCCACTTGCTTTGTTGTGTCTCTATTCCCTTCAGTCATCAGTTTCAATAGCAATTAACACAATAGGGCATAAATTTAAGGGTGAAAGGTCTGATCTGTTGATCCGTGATCAGTGTACAGCCCAATCATGGCAGCTTGGTCGACTGTATAGGTTGCATCCCAGCGCTGACAGTGATCTTAATTTGGATCTTAAAAGAATGCATCAGCAGCTCCAGTTTGGCTTCATGCTCAACAACAGGACAAACTATACAGGGGTGGCTAAGTAAAGACAAGGCTCTGGTTTTAAACCGTGTGCTGGATTGAATCACCCATCTAAAAGAGGTTGACACTATTCACACATATTTTTCAAAGATACTGATTTTGGTACTAAAGCAGTGAATAAATATTAAACTCAGTGCCACTATCAAAGATAACACAACCAAGCAAACGCCACATAAGCTCAGACATTCAAGTGCAATCATCCCAAAGAGTTGCCAGCCCATTGAAGCAGGTTACCCTCACTGACTCAACAGCCAGCACAGACAACATTCAGCAGTACTCAGACTGTGCTGGCTGTTCATTTCTGGCCCCCAGTAAAAGCATCAGAGTGACAATTTCACAGGTTAGTTGCAGGTGGTCCTGGGGGGTTTCAAAACAAACTGCATGAACAGCTACTACAGCTCCAGTAAAAGAATGTTGTGACAGTGGCAGGCAGGCTGCAGCAGTGCTGAGTGCTAAAATGGCTGCTCATTCTCCATACAGACACAGACCACGAGGGGAGGAGGAGGGCTCCCACTCCCAACAATTTCAAACTCAAACGTGGCTCACCCTTAGGTAGGCTTAACAGCTTGTGCAGAGAGCTAATAATGGAGATGCTATTTAACAAATGCTTGCAGTAAAATAAATATTAAATGCATAAGATTACACTCAATTGAAAGGGTTATAATAGGCTAAAATCATCAAGCAGCATCGATTTCCTCCCTCATCAGCCTCTAAAAAATGTATCTGAGTGCACAAACTGGCTCTTTTAACTGGAGGTGAAGCTAACTACATCTTCATCTCTTCTCCAGATTCATGTCACATTTTGGAGAGAGAAAAGCATTAAGGCTGAACTCCTCTTCTCCTGTATTATGCACTGTAAACAAGCTATAAATGGTAGAAAGAAGAACAATTCAATATCCACACACAAGGCTTGTGGTGCTTTGGGTTGCCACCTTCAGTGTGAAAAAAATCAGGGACAACCCCAGCACCCAGGTGCTACCTGCCTCTAATGCTGTAAAACTTGACTGGTGTTTGTACTGGACTCACTGGGAGCTGTGGTCCTGAGCCTGCTGCTCTGCTCCTCCTCTCTGTTGTCAAGATGCACTAAACTCGTTGAAGTGTTTGGATTTATTTTAACTTCTTTTTCCAATTTACTTTTTAAAATGATACATTCACTCTTCCACTGACTGTTGACAATGAATATTTTGTGCAAGACTTGCTGTATTAAAGCTTCTGTCAACTGAATTTGAATATTTTTAAGCCTTTAGCACCATGACCACATGAAACGTCAGCTATTATTTTATTTTTTTTACCAATATCACGTTTATCCTCAATTAATCTGTCAATTATTTACTCATTTTAGAGATTAAATGTTTGGTCAATCAGACCTCAGAAAACTAAAACAGACCATTCCAATTTTCCCAAGCAAAAGGTGAAATCACCAAATACTTTACTATACTGTAGGTCATAGAAAAGGGTCAGAATGTTGCATCTGTAAACATGGGACTGTCCATTTTTTCTAGAAAAACTACTTAAATGATTCGTCAACGATTAAAATAGCAGACAATGTTCTTACAATCATCTAACTTTTTCATCTTTGCAGCTCTACTGTCAATATAACATGGCCAATTAAGGTGATTTTTGTCAATTACAATATTTAGATGATGAGACATTTTGCACTCCGCCAAGGTGTTCGCTCAATTTTCGCGTTCAAGACTCGAGTTGCAGGTAAATCAAACTACTTGCAGCGACACCTTGTGGCCGAGTACAACGTCTTGCATAAGAGTCGGAGCTCTTTCTCTGCCGATGGCAAAACAGCATGTTATGAATTCAGATGGAGAAGATGGTGTCGGTGTATTGTAGCAACATTAAGTGGAAAAATCAACAATGAGTCACGAATGTTGTAAGGCCCGCAGCACATCCTCCGCTGCAGCGGCCAGTCGGTTTGTTAGAATGACATGTTGTCATGCATTTGCAGCGGTGCTTCGCGGTCAGCTTACCTGTTTTGTCGTCCGTTAAACTTGTAAATAGTGATCTTGTCAACGGTTCTTGCTTTAGGTTGTCACTCTGGGTGAGTCATTCCCATGCAAACGGCACCTTAAATAGTGCCCAAAACAAGCCAGTTTGCCAACTTAGCCAACCAGCTTAACTTACTGCTTGCTGGCAGCAAAAATAAGTCAGATGTCTTGACTTTTTAACCACTGTTAATGTTACTTTGGGTTGATTATTTTGCGGTCAGCTGTGGCGATCAGGTCTGAAACCCAAGAACGGAAGCTTGGAAACCGAGTAAAAGTTGCATGTCAGCTAGCTCGCTAGCAATTTAACGCCAGCTTATGTTGACAAACAAGCCTGCGTGGTTAAAATCACACACGACTTAAAGCTAGCTAACGCCAGGCTGCTAGCAGTGTTAGCTCAGCTAGCTAACCAGCTTGCTAAATCCAAATCTTGCTCCAAAAATCCCTTCTCGCTTTGTCAGACTTATGTCCCACAGGCAGCAGCAAATCACACGTAACTCCGATAATCACTTGGGGGTGGTTTCTGTGCTTCAATGACGGCGCACTGGCATCTGCAAACCCAAGTTATCGCTTTGGTCTCTGCTCTCCGCCATTTCCAATCTCTCAACACAAACAAACAGGGGTGCTCGCGCGCAGAGCGTCGAGGCGCGTTCACGAGCAGGGCAGCGGGCAGGATCCCCGTGTTGATGAGATGACATGTCTGTTGATTAATGAGACATTTATTGAGAGGACACCGTAGAGTAAATAAAGTAGGGTGAATTTAGTGGATTTTGGAGTGATGAGCTCAAATATGACATTTAAAAGAGCTGCTTAGCTATATTTTTAAGCTATTTAGCCATTTACTTTTTATAAAGCTAGTTATCTGTCTTGACTGTTATGCTATGTTTTTGAGGTGGAAAAAAAAAATCACTTCACAGACTTGTGCAGCTGTTTTGAATAAAGTAAAGTTGTAAATATATCTCCTTGGCTAACTGTAGTCTGTTCATTTACTAGGCCAGGGTTGCTGCCCATGTACACTGCACTCTGAACACTGATTCATCTTCACATACATGTGTGGGCGTGTCTTTAGGAGACATTCTGAGAAGTACAGTAATTATATTGTGTGTAATATATTGGTTAGCCACTTACATTCCTTTACAGCCACTGGTCTTATGTCAGCGTCCAAGGTTATGGCCCATAAGAGCATTGTGAAACAATCATGTTAAAAATAAGCCCCAAAACACTGAGAAAAGTAAAAATAATTATTAAGACAAGTAACTTCTATAAAGTCAGCCACCCATCATACAGAGGGGTAGTATGAATAAATTCAGTTTGCTACTTGTTTATTTGTAAACATTTTTAAATGGTTCCTCTTGTGTAAAACTCAAACTATCAGTCCATTCACAAAATTTAATCAGCAACTGTGGTGCTAACTGATTAATCACTGAGTGTTTATGCAAGCCATTCTCTCATTCCAGCAACTGTGAGAATTTGCTGCATTTCTTTTGTGCAATCTATACATTTAATCTAATTTACCCCCCCGGCTCCTCTACCAGAGCTATGGCCATTCTCATTTTTACAGGGACAATTTAGTCCTTTCATGTGCATAGGACCTGCGTGGCTGGTGATCAAAACTGCAGCTCAGACCACTGTTAATAAAAACACAGTCAGTCACTTTAAACTGTATTTCAAGCAGGATCACTGGAGTCTGTTCAAACAATCCAAAGGAAACAGTGGTTTTACAAACAGAACAGATCTGACATAATGAAACTACACATAAACATGACGTTAAACACAAAGCTACCAGTTCAAGTCTGGTATCACAGCCTTTCCATTTCTGCAGTTCCTTTGCAGAACAAGCACTGATATTGTGTTTTAGGATTACAGTGTGTTAAAGTTTAAGCTTGGAATATACATTTCTCATTTGCTGTTTAAAGACATTACAGGTGAATCATGACAGCAGTGTGTAGAGTTATTGTGGTGACAGTACAAACTGATGAAACGTGTCAGGAGTTCGGCCAAAGTCACTAAAAGACATGACAGAAGAGCTGTCACTTGAAAACTAATGATGAGAAAGTGTAAATTAGAATTCAAGTAACACAACAGGAAATCCTCAAATACAGGACCATCAAGGCAACAATACTAATTTGAATTACACTGTATTAAAAAAAAAAGAATCATTTGTTTACGTAAACAATGACTTTGGTTAGATCAGCAGACAACTGCAATAAGAGCTTCTCTCTACAGACAATGCACCGCCATCCAAAACACATTTGTTTTTGCATTAGTACACCTGTACTGAGTTGTATTAAGATGCTGCAGCACTGCCTACTGTTGTACCCGCCACACAAATATCAAAAGATGACGTTTTGTGTTTTTAAAACAACTGAACAAACTCACCCAAATTCACAAAAATGCATATTCCGATTTTAATCTTGTAAATTACAGCTGTTTTGATGCTTACACAGACAAATGATGTGATGTCCACAGATCATTCTGTAGACACAATCAGATGAAGAGAAGTAACTAAAACAAATATTAACCGACACTGCAGCGCATACATGGACACTGTCTCTTATTTAAAGAGCTTGAACTTGCGCAACAGTGGCTGCACAGCCTCTTTAGGATAGGGCTTCAGAGCCAGGCAGGTGGGTATGTTCTCTGGCTGTTCGATCCAAAGCTTGTGGGACACACCGGCCTCAGTCAGACTCTTTGACAGGCCGGAGAGGGCGGCCTCGTCTGGAACCTGGAGAGAGAAACAGCAAAAGCACAAACAGTAAGCCAGGCTATGAAAGTAAAAAGGTAACAATTTGCTAATATATTGTATTGTCTGAAATTAATCTTGTATGGAGAACTGCCTGTCAAAACAAGACTCCATTTAAAATGTCTTAAAAATCTAATGGCCTATGAGGCCATTAGACTTTAGGCAATTGTCAGCTTACAACTGATTTAAAAACACTTTTGTATAATCTTTTGGGATATTTCTTCAATTCGGCATCCATTCTACGAGCTTAAACGAACATTTATTCACGAAAATGTTTCGCAAGGAGACTTCACTTGTGATTTATACAATTTAATACAGTGAACGAGAGTTTGCTTGTGCTATCGGATTAAGAATCACAACTAACCATAAAGCCTTGTCATTTCTAAAGGCTTAAATTGTGTTGCGTTGTACATTAGTTTGTAATCAAGGCAGCACTAAAGTGACGGATATCTGAATGGAGTTTGGCGTGACGTGTCGAACTCACCCCAAGCACCACTTTATGCATGGAGTCCAGCTCCGCCAGGTACCGCTGTGTGTCCGGGTCCGAGTAGTGCAGCTGGATGGCGGCGGTAGCAGCATGACAGGCCTGAGTTATCACGGCTCCCAGATTCCAAGACAGGTTATGAACCAGATCCGACCGGACGACCACATACTGGACGAGCCGACCAGGAGACCCGGCTCCTGAAGCCGCCATTTTTAGCCTGTACAGGAACTGATTCAGTGTTTATGTTCCCGGTCAGCAGCTGAGTAGGTTGTCATTAGGAGATATTACGCCCTCTGCTGGTCAGAGCCTGAACAGCTGGGTCCTGTCCCTATAAGTTGTTTTCTTCTTCTTCTTCTTCTTCTTCTTTACCCCAGTTTTGTTGGTGTCTTTCTGTTTATCACAACTATGTATTATTTTTGTTAATGTTTCTCTTAAATTGGCAGAGATTAATTGATAAGTGGAAACTCATTAATAAAATTCCAATCAGCCTAAGGTATTCTGACGGGTTTTTACCACTGTACATAAAATGTAATGCTACTCTATGTATATGTACCGTATACACACAAATAAAATAAAATGTAAACCACAGACTGATTCAAATAAATCACCAGCAAACACAAGTAAATGTCACAATAATTATTTATTAAGCATACACATTATAATATAAATATAAAATGCTATTTTTGTTCTTAAAATTGGTGAGACATCATTATATCTGTTTTGAGACAGACAACCATACAAACAGGTTTTAATATTCTACCAAAATCTGCTGAAACTTCTATGCAGCTGTAACAAACTTGCCATGATGGAGCCGTCCTAAAATCAGAGCCTGCATTCATGGAGCATATCAGAGAAGTGCAACCGATCTAGGATCAGGACCGTGTAAATGTCACCATGAATGAAGAGGCAAGCTGGTCTCAGATCAGCCTTGCTGGTCTAAGATGCCGTATGCAGAGAGAGCACAATAACCTACCATATATTTCTTTATCTTTACATATACTGTATATACTTCTTATTGTGGTCCAACAATGGCAATTAGCAGCATGATAATGCACCACTCATTTTTTTCTAGTTCCAAGAAACTGCAAAATAGGTTAGGAGGTAAAGAAAATAAACATCAAACATACTGATGATCATTGTCACTGTACTAAGAGAGAAACTTGTTCACAGTGAAACAATCAGAGATAATCAAACAATCGGTTCAGAGTGATGATGTATGACGGTCAGGATCAGGTTCATTTCAGTTTCACCCCAGTCACCAGCAGGAAGTGGGTCACCTCTACGTTTTTACTAAAGTGAAAATTAATGACATCAAGTTCTGTGCATCTCATTGACAGATCAGCAAGTATTAACTCTCACACCATGAATGACAGCTTCAGTCGACTGAATCTAAAGTGAACTGATCCCCAGACCTACTTATGACAGTAAAGAACAAATAGCTAGAACAGTTTATTTCACTTTGTGTTTTTTGTTTAGTTTTTTTCTTTACTAAAGTCCAGTTGACATGCTGGATCCTCTTGTTTGCAGGTTTGTGGCCAATCAAAAGGAAAAGTACTGAGCAAACCACTCCTGGCGCTGGGCGTCCGGGGAGTCGATGGCAGAGTCCTTCGTTTCAGGAGGGCTTCGGGAGGCGAGCACACAGCCACAACACAAATACAGTTGAAGACAAAAAAGACAAGTCAGGACAGAAACCATAAGGAAATTCAATATATTTAATCTGACTGAAAGATGGAGGCAGTGTCTGACACTGATGGAAAGTACATTTACCTAAATGTTGTAATTAAGAACACTTGTGAGGTACTTGTACCTTATCTGAGTATTGCTATTTATGCTACTAAATACCCATACTGCACTGCATTCCAAAGCAAATACTATGCTTTTTACTCCATCGTATTTATTTACAGGCTATAGTGGCTTGTTAGTTTACAACAAAAAACAGTCTCCTGACTTTTACTTTTGATACTTTCAGTGCATTTTGCTGTTAAAACTGTTAAACGTTTGAATGGAGTACTAGTAATGAAGTTTTTTTCTTTATATTGTATGTTTATTTAAGTAAAGTAACACTTCTCCCACCACTGGTGTCTAATTGTCATTTATCTCCTCTGGATGTTTTGTGCTTAAATCTACAATAGTAACAATAAGTATACAGTCTACATATTCAGTCCATTGTTGTCTACAGTCTCATACCAGACGTCACTGCTTTCTGTGTGTTACTCTCCCTGAGAACGCAGTGTGAATCAGTGTAATGCACAAAACCAATTAAGACTTGGATTTGATTTAGGCCTTGCCAAAAGTACAATACAACGGTCACCAAATATCTGAGGGTGTAGTCGTGTAAGGTGTGCGAATGTGCAAGGCGTGTGTTTGTCCACAGAGGGGCAGCAGAGTGCATGTGTGAGGCCTGGCGAGCGGCAGCATAAGGAGGTCTGACTCCACACCATCATGACTGGACTAACAAGTTTGTCTCTGGGGCAAAAGAAAAGTTACCGGGCTCCTGTTGCCAAGCATATCAAGTACAATGCCAACACAAACCGGCCAGTACTTGTAAAGTGGAGTAATACCTGGCCTCTGGTTGTCTGACAGCTAGTGCATGGTAATCCAGCCTCGCCTACTACTGTACATACTAACGGTTTATTGTATGAGCTACAGTACATAGTAATTACACTATTTTTGAAGTTAGCATAGAGAAGCTGCTGTACTTCACTGATTTGCAACTTTGGAGCATCACTACCATTTTACATAGAGTATGTGTGTTTCTTCAAAGGCCTCATATGGTTTGTTTTAATGTTGTGCTGCTGTAAGTAGCTTTTTGGAATATACTTAGTTTTGTCTTGTGCTCACAACCTAACCTAACATACCTAACATAACCGTCACCGGTTACTGATCATTTTTAAGGGAAAATATCATTAAGCAGTGAAATCTGTACAGTATGAGCAGAAGTTGTAGCTTTTTTCTGACTCGTGTCTCCTGGGTGTGTAGCAGCATGTTTCCTCAAGCCTGAACTAATTAGGCTGAGCGTGTGCATCTATCAAAACAAACATCAACTGGAGCCATTGTGCTTCTTAATTAGCTGCTTTCTAAACAAACAGTCTCATAACCACAGGATAATCTTTAAATTTTGTTGGGTATTTTCTTTTCCGTGCTTCTCAAAAGGCTTCCCTTATATTTGTTCTTCCTGATTAATCACATTTACACTGAACATGGCCACAATTCAGGCACAAAGTGTTCTGCATTTCCCATACCTCATGTCTGTATTAAATGAACATAACAATACTATGTTTGGATGCTAATACTTTTAGACATTTACACTGCTATACTGCTGCTTTTACTTAAGGATCTGAGTACTTCTCCCACCACTGGTAGAGATCATGCCAGCAACAGATATTCATCTCAGTTTAATGTGAATGCACGGGGCTCGAACTGGTGACAGAAAGTGATCCGTAGCATCTCTGCTATTCAAAACCATGCCAAGCTGTTTCAGACACTTGATGCTACAAATCTTCTATGTCCTCTTTCCTCTCTGTGTTGACTCAAATTCCTATCAGTCCTATTTCTACTAAAAAACTAACACGAGCCTTGTAATTAATTTGTGGACAACTGTGAGCACACGCCTGATATTCAGCATCTGCCAAATATGTGGCAGTTAGAGACTGCAGTCCAACTCGTTCCCGTATGGTTTGTCATCTAGGGTTAAAGACGCAAAGACTTTAAGCGCCACTGATTTAAAGAGGATTTACTAACTGCTGATCACACTGCTGTTAGGAAAAGGGCAGAGACATCAGTGTAACTAGAAGTGTGAGTGCAGGGAGGGGAGGGATGAACTGTTTGATAGAGTCTGAAAACATTTCAAAGCAAACCTACATCTGTCATTACACTGCTCTGCTGTGCACGGCTTCTATATCCCATCCAATAGCAAACTGGTGTTTTGGTTTATCCAGAAAACCAGGGTCACCTTTAAGAGCATTTGTGTACGTGCACTGTGTATCAGCAAAAGGTGAGACCCATGATAACAGAGGTTTGTCCCAAGCTTCTGCTTCTGCAGCCACCCCATCGCATTCTTTACATAAACAGCAGCAAAACATGCAACAGGAAGGACAGAAAATAGCACTCACTCACACACACACATGCTACAGACCTCAATCCTGGCACACTAAAAAACAATTCCTGGCATGCAAATACACACACTGCATGTATCCATGTGAGAAGCATGTTACATAACCGATCATTGTATCAGCTCACATCACAGCGACCAATCGACCACCATTATCAAAAAACAAGAGAAGCATTTATTGCACCATATAAAGGAGTAACAATGCTGTTATCAAAATAAGACACAACCACACACAGAGGGGCAGTCCGTGATAGCAAAAGACAATATCTACCTCATTATAAATTCACAACAAAACACTTTATTTACTTTGTACAAAAACAGCCGATCCTATTTGGAGTTGAGCAGGAACAGTGCAGCGTATGCAGCATGCTGAAATTCAGATGAAGATGAGGATGAAAAATCACAAGATGACAACAAAAAAGCCCCAATGGATACTGACAAGTTGTATAACTTCCTGAATGGAAAAGGAAAACGTGCCAGCATGCACACTGGAGACATGTTCAGACCGACAGACACACAGGCTTGGGAAGGAAAACAAAAACAACAACATGCCCGGTTTGCATTCCAAGGCCATTCTTTGAAGCTTCAGTCGCATACGGGACTGGGACTGTTCGGGTTACATTGTTACCTTCCACTTATTCTACCACTTCTTTTTAAACAGCTGTGATGCTTGCAGTTCAAATGTGCTGCAGTAGAAAGGTCTGACAAGTGGCAGACATCATCCACCACACAGGTGTTTTACCTGACTGTTTGCTAAACCCCTCTCCCCACCACCCAGCTTTTGATTTGTCCACAGGTTAAAGCGGTGTGCAGGCGGCACTCCATACATAAACTGTTCAGATGGTGGATTCTTGTTTTTATCCACTCCTAACCCAAGAATACAAGAGCAAAAGGGTGAAAAATCAATTCAAGTGTTTGTGTCTTCTAACATAACCTGCAAACATGTCCCAAAAAAACCTTGACATGTTCCGTTAACTAGGAGAATCTGAGGAAGACGGCAGCCCAAGTATCCACGATATTTTGGATTTATTTTTGATTAGAGTGGGAGATGGTCACGCCATGTTCATCATATACAGTATATGTCAGTGGCTACTACTAACTAGCTTCTACATGGATCATCAGCTGGTGAGGATGCTAACTTCTGCCTAGAACCTGTTAGCTTTGGTCTCAGACATTTAACATGATATCATGTGTGTCGCATCAAGTGCATATTTAAGACCCTTTTACAAGGTTTTTATTTTAAAACAAGTCAGCGGGAAACATTAAAAGCACTTTTTCAACCAACTAATATGGTTAATGTTAGCTTAATTAACTAGCAAGGAAGAAAATGAATGGTTGCTGGGTAGACAGAAGAGGCCTCACTTTGTTCAACACTGGCTGAAATCAGTGGAGATTTGCTCTGAATTTCTGAGCGGTAAATGTGCCACCACACCACTGTAAGCTGCACAGCACAGCTGGAGAACAGAAAGCTTGACAGGCTTTGCATAATTAACTAAGGGAGGTGGGGCTTAGTGAATGATCAACTGCAACACATTCGCACGTTTCAAGGTTTTATTTTATACTCTGCGGCTCATGATGATAACGGCTTCATTCTAAAGGCCCAGACTTGACAGGAAAAAATGAAAAAGTTAAAAACCAGTTATTGTCCCACTGAGAAGTTTCTTTTCAACAGAGTTCTGGTGTATTTTATTTTGAGGCCTAAAATATGACTTCAAGGTTTGATTCAGAATGTGAGTCAAATTAGTAAATGTTCTTGGATCGGCAGGAGTTTCCAGTCGACCAGAGGTCTGTGACTGATGCGTAGACTAACCAGCTGCTGCCCATCGGGGCCGAAAAGGTCTCACCTCATGAATTTCTTGGGTTCGGTGGGAGGGGTCGGCGGGGGAAGAGGTTTGTTGGAGTTGAGCTCAAGGTGGTGGAGGGGGGAGTTGGGAATGGGCTCTAGACGGCTGGGCTGGGCTGAGGGCG